AAAGGGGCAGACAAAGTGTTTTAAAATCCAATAAGCCCAAATAGTCTTTTTGCAGGGCCCATAGTCTTTGGGCAAAAGGCTGGCCATTAGTCCTCTCCAAAACCCAGTGGCAAGGTTATTTTTGCCACAATTATAAACACATATATTAATATTATTTTCTCCCTACATACATTTGTATGCAACAACATCGATCATAAGTGATCATCCCACAATTCTTATAACGCAGAAGAAAAATTCATATTTGTAAATTCTGGGAAGGTGAAACATAATGAAATACTGAATAACATTTTTTACACCTACATTTCCTAGCAATTTGGTCTGCTGAAATAACACAGGGTCATGTGTGTCATATCAGCTGCATTTCAAATGAACACTATAGCTTTTAGGACTAGTAATGTGTATTCCTAAAGCTATAGTGCCCTGGTAGATGTTTAGGTAGATGTTTAGACCCTATGAGAACATTTGATTGAAATATCAGAGATTTTCTCTACTTTTTCATCTGAAGCACCTCTTGTGGATGTCTAAGTGACAGTTACTAGAGGCATTTAAACCCTACAATGCAAACATTGCCGTTCTGCAAAAAAGCAGGGTTTTCACATGCAGGGTTAAGACGGGGGTAGGGGTACATGGCACCCAAACTACATGTTTGAGATGAAGTGGTCTGGGTACCTATAGTGTTCATTTAAAGTTGAAATTTAAGAATTTACTGATTTATTGATTTGTTATACAGTAAATTGAATGCAGCATGTGTTCAGTTAAAGTTTACATTAATTAATTGATATTATATAACAATGTAGTCAATATTGAATAGAAACGATCATGTTTTCAATGGGTAATAATTCCTTGAAAGACTCACAAACCTTTAGTTGGAATGTTCACACATATTTAATTTTATGCAATGCAGGAAGGGTAATTTTTTTTTTCTGAAAACATTTGCGTTCCTTCTTCGCAGGAGGTGTTTCTCTCTAATGTGAATGATGGGGTTAAGATGTCACTCATTACAATAATAACCCTGCAATTTGGTAAATTTATCAGAGTAATAAACACTAAGAATTATTAGAGCAAACCACATATTTATTCACAGTGATTGATGAATGGCACTAGTAATCAATGTACTGTGAATTGTGGAGAATAAAAAAAGAATTACAAGTTTTAAAAGCTAAACTGTAAAAATTATCCAAGTTACAAACTCCCACTTAGCTATCTGGGCTTAGAACTCTCTGGTCAATTCAAGAAAGTTCCCTGTTCAGAGAATAACCTTGTTATTTTTGGAATATAGCTCCCATGTAAGTCTGTTAAGTAGAAAAATAATTTAAGTTTTCAAGAACTGATGAACTGTTTTCCAAGATTGCCAAGATTATAAAGGAAATAAATTGTAAATCTCTTTATTGTATCCTTTTCTTTTACTAAACATGCTCATGGTTTGTAATGGGATTGAAACTATTTTAGCACGTAAAGTGTAATGACAGAATAATCTTCTTAGCTGTATTGGGGCTAGATTTTTTTGCCCAAGTGATATGAAACAAAATATAAAATAAATTGCCGACAGTGAAAATATCAGCAGTTTTAGAAATCAAAGCCCTTTACTGCCACTGTTAGTAAATCATTACCCCGATAGAAATGCATTACTTTATTAAAACATTTATTATTCACTTCCCTGACTAAGTCCTGACTTGCAGTAAAATCCCTGAAGAATTGCTCAAACCAGATGGAAATGTATTGCCTGCCCTGGTTATGTCTAGAGCAGGTCTTCAAGCATAGCATGCATTAAAAAACACGGTCCTGATACAACTTTATAAACCCAAATCCCTCTGAAAGTAAGCATTGTATTGCTGCAAACAGCTTCAGTATTTCACATGTTAAATAAAATGACACTTTACTTATTATGAAGGCTAGCTAGGTCCAGACCCAGTTCAAGAGTTTAAAAATTTTTTAATATGGATTTCAAAACACTCACATCTGTAACTGTCATTGCATATCACCCAACTGTCTCAGATCTGGCATGAAAGTCCTGTTTAAGAGAGTGGTATCTTTGCAGAAGCGCGTGACTACTCCTGGATATATTTACTTATAAATATTCAATCACAATACTCAAAGGGAACTTCAAACATACAACGGAGAGGATTTGAGCCAAGAATGATAATGGACTAAATGGGAATTGGGGCTTCTTGGGACACTACAGACGTTTTAAATGAGTAATCCTTTGCTTCTCATTGAGCTGGTTTATATGTTTCACACTGCAACCATCATGTCAATATAAAGGAATATATGCAACACGCAACCTTGTGCATTAGCTTCTGTCAGTAACCTCTATTCCCCTTCCTTAATTGGCTAGCTCTTCATTTAACTCCTGTATTATTTTCACAATTCTCTTATCCCATTGTAGATTTATGACACCCTGGAATATATATATATATTTACTGCTTTAACCTCTGCATTACAGCTATCTTAGCATGCTTTCTTCACTATGCTCAAAAACGCTTTAGACTTAATAAAGTGAGGAGCTTCCTAAAGTCCGATAAGAAAGGTATTAAAAGAAACTGCAATACTTCACTATTTTGAAAAGGAGCTTTTGTACACCTCTGTCTTAGTCGTCTATGCCTCCAGCTTTGTGAGTGTCTGGGTTATGATAATTATGATATACCAAACCTAAGCATACATTACATGTTAATGGGGTTGTTGAAGGTTCATTAGTTTCTGTATTGTATTGTAAAGGCGTATTGGTTCTCTGGAGCAAAATGACCCACCATGTACGAGCATCAATTCCTTGAATAGAAAAGCTATTTGGCCATCAAAAAAAATGTCCATACTAGTGGTTTACCTGACTCACCTCAAATAAACCTGAACTGAAGAGCAATAAAGAGTTGGCTGTGTTAATAGCAAGTAACAAAGTAGCCATGGGGATCTCAGTATATTATGAGGCCACTAAACTAACCTAACTTTTATGCAAACATAATAATACCAAACATCATACCTGCCAATCCTCCTAGACCATGTTCAAAGACAGAGGCATGCAGGGAAAAGAGTAGGTTATATGGAGCACTGCGAAGGGGATGGGTCTGACAGTCAAAGTGGAAGGCCTGCACTTAAAATGGTGGCCAGTCTGGCTGACAGCCAGCCTTCTCAATCAGACCATGCACCATGTGTTTCTGAAGGGCTCTGTGCATGGTCTTAGTTCACTGTTCCTTTTTACATTTTGAAGTTTTCTGGCAGAATTTAAAATGCTGGACAGGTGCCCCCCTACAACCTATTTGTGTTGGGACTGTACCCCAGACAAATTCAGGACTGTTGGCACCAATGGCTTCTTTAAGAGTTCATTACATCCAATATATGTACTATTAATGAATCTTAATAACTAAACACTAATACACATCTATAAAATGAGTTACCAAAAGATCATATATCATAGTCCCTGAGTGATTTGCAGGTGAGACACACTCCTAAACAAAGGAGTTTGTTCCCTTTTTGCATTTTATTTAGGGGTGTATTGGTGCATGGTTTAGTGTGATGTATATTTGTGTGATGAAAAGAGATTGTTTTGTGCTATAACTTCTTGTTAATTTCTGTGGCAGCTTGGTAATACTGATTCTGCTTACAATATTTCACCTGTCTGAAAGCTATTCTTTTAGGCTGGGTTTGAAAGTTCCACCACATAATTACTGTTTATATATAACAATCTGTTATTCTGTGGTCATAAAAAAACCAAAAGACTCCAATCTAAGTAGGAAAAACAAAAGTAACTTTTAACAAATATAAGATTTAGGGAAGGGGTCAGCAACCTATGCCACGTGGGGAGTGCATGGCACTCAAGGTGGCTTTGCACGACACTCAAGACTGACAGAGCCAAACAGCCTCTGGCCTATTAGGAGTCCAAGTGGGACTTCAGATATCTGCTAGTGCATACCAAGCTGTGATTACAGGTGGTGAGAGACAATCCTCAATTTAAACACATCAGCACTTAGAGGAAGTAATCTCAGATGACTTCCTCCCATCCTTTGTGAACGGGAATCCACACTGGAGTAGAGCAACCCGCAGCAGCTATCGTAGCTCCTGCCCTTAACCTGTAACTAGCCAGTCCGACTCCCACTGGACCCCAATGAAACCACCCCTACTGATAGATACAAAAAATACAAACAGCCCACACACAAACACACACACAGTCCCCACAAACACAAAACCACTGACAATCCACACAACCCCACAAGCAGCCTCTCACATGCAATACCACAAGCAGCACCAAAAAACCACACACTACCAAACTATGTGACATATCATTGAAACACACAATTCCACAAAAAGTCCCATAGACAGCCCAGATTCATAAGTATCATAAACAATACCACAAACTACTCATGAACCTACAGTATAACAGCCTACATATACACAAATAGAATGCTACAAAGCAACGGCAGCACCCATAAATAGCACAAGCAGAATATTACAACATACAGCAGCAGAGCTAGCCACTGGCTGAGCTAAAGGCCTTCTTTACTGCGGACATTGTGTTAGTTCGAGAAGACATTGAAGCAGATCACCTTGGTCATGGAGGGCAAGATAGTTGTGCTGGAGGACTCTAGGTGGCAGTGAAATCTGAGGGTCTGCAGTGTCCCTGAACACATCACAGAAACACTACCTATGTAGGTTGTTAGGCACCATGCTCCACCCCTGCAAGGACACAGCCATGCAACTTGGACTACCATTATCAGGTCCCTAAGTCACCTAAAGCCCCAGCCGGAGTCTCAGGAGAATTGTTGCTAAGTTTCCAGTCGCTTCTGAGCAAAAAGCTCATACAGACTACCATCCACAATTCACCTCCATTCCATTTTGAAAGCTCAGAGCTTTTGTTCTTTAACAACCTTTCCAGGTCTACAATGCTTTGGAAACAATCCTTGCAACCAGTGACTAAGATCCCGAGAGACAAGGGGCCTGGGCCAAAAATCACATGTGCTACACGAAAAGAAGCACCTCACACAAGTCTCAGAAGTGGATTGACTCCTCAGGGCGCTGGATTTGACTTTGCCAGAAAACATACCAAGACCTGTGGCAAATACTCTCACAAGTCTTCTGCTCCCTCATGGGATGTCAATAAAATCCAGCAATTATACCCCATGCAGCGGCATGCGACTGAGGCACTGCCACCCACAAGCACATGAGACCTGCTGAAAGTGGTGGCATGCAACCGCCTATTGTTCCACTTGTTGCCTTATCTTTTGTACTATAGAAGGCTTATTTCTCCCTGCTTGCTCCCTAATTTAATTTAATTTATTTTTTGTTACTTTAGCTAATTTCTGATAGGTCGCTTTAACTAACCCAATCTCTATATTACTCTAAACACAGCTCGAAGTCTTGGGAATCTCATACCCTCCCATATAAAGCAGTTTTAGTTAGCTTTCCTACATAGCTTAATGTAACACCGTGCATATACCGTTAGATAGAGATCAGTTAGACAGGAATAATGCGATGTTGTTGTTTGATGTACACAAGCAGGAAATGTCTGAAGCTCTTTTTGAATCTCCTTAAAATGTAGCGTACTACGCTTTCCCCTATGTTTATAACTTTATATATAATACAATAAAAATAGAAAAAAAAATACACAGAAAACATACAGAAATATACGCATCTCACCAGGGGACTTCAAGATCTTGTTTGGCACAGTGCTACTAAAAGGTTACCTACCCCTGATTTAGGGTTTGAGGGTGGGAGGAAAGGCAGTATTGTACAAAAAAAACCATTATAAGACAGAATTAAGACAGAATTATAGATATGTAGAATAGTCATTCAGTGAAAGGTATTGTTGCGAATGCACTTAAGGTATTCAAGTTGGGTTTCACTCTGCATGAATCCATTCTGAAGAACAAATTAATACAAAAAAAGGAATCGGAATATGCAGAGTAGAATTCTCCGCTGCTTATCTGTTGATATAATCTATTTTCGTGTTTGTAGGGAGTAACATTTTGCCAAACCATCTTCCTTACAAAGGAATAAATTGAGTAAAACAGTGATATTTCCAATAGTGTTTGTTAATCGTGTTTCATCTGATTCTCGTTTCTGTTTTATTTATATTTAAAAAGTCAGCAAATGACATGACAATCCAGTTTAGTCCGGGAACAACGAAGGCAAACAATACAAAGGAGACATAGGAAGATTGTTTCCCATGAACTCTGTATGGCTGCCAAGAGCTAAGCACCGAGTTTATAACAATGATTGACAGATGGAGACACTCCGTTGCAAGATTGTCTTATCCCAGGACACGTGCTCTGAGTTATGTCAGCTCTTGCACTTTATGCTCTGTGGCTAGAATACAAGATCTTGATAAAGGCTCTTCTAGGGCCAAAACATTGCTGTAGCACAGGGGTTCCCAAAAGAAGGAGTTCCTGATGTTGTAGAACTACAACTCCCTTTGCATGTCTTTAGAATGCCTTTACAATGACAAAGCAGCATGGAAGTTGTGCTTTTGAAACATAAGGAGATCTACATTTTGGGCACGCCTGCTGTAGCACATTCAATAACAATTCTGTTGACACATGTCCTTTAAGGGGTAAGGAGCCATGGTCAGGAAATATATACATAGATTCTGTTTTAGTATTGCTGTCTTTAATATGATGGGAGTGCTGTAAAGAAAATGTATTGGGCAATTAAACAATGAGAGGTCATTTACTGAACTACTAAAGTAACTCACTGGGTGTTACCCTGTTATTGCATTGAATTCTATTAACCAGGATAAAAAACTTCCACTGTTATTCTGAAAACAATCTATCAATTACCTATTTTTTTTTTTTTAGTACCGTCATTCACTTGGAATTCCTCAACGTATCTTGAACGAGGACACAGAATTCAAAACAGAATGTACACATATGGTGAGAAGGCCCTAGAGTAAACAATAAATAAATATTGCTGAGATTACTTTAATAGACTTCAAATACTCATAAACAGCGAGCAAATGAACCGCAATTTGTTGAGATTTTCATTTCAGTTTGCCAAAAACAGATATCATCTTGCGAATTCAAGTACACGAATGGAATGTTTGTATTTTCCTCTAGAACCCAGTCTACTGTAATTCTTAGCACATCTGTGTGAGCTGAAATGCATCTCTTGCATTTGCATGAAAATTAACAGTCCCATTAGGATTAGAAAATTCCTTTATCCATCTCTGCTGCAATGTCTACCGTTGTTTTAGGGAGGATTATATGTGACTAAATTCAAGTCATGTTTCAAATGACTTGTTTCTGCGTTACATCAGGGGATCTATAATGAGGCAAATTCTTTATTTAAGGCATTAATATTATAATTGTTGTGTTTTCATCACGTGGCTATGTGATACAACATCTGCAAGTACTTATTAAATAAGATTAACTTGCCAATGACAGCAGCAAACATGTCTGGTATATTTATTTAAAGAGGTCTCTTTTGTACGCAATGGGCTCCACATAAGTCCCTTCTACATTGGTTTTATTTGAGTACAAATCTGCTAATAATTATCCACAAAACACTTAATACCATGAAAATAGCTACAAGCATTATTTTCATGTTTTTATTTTTTACATTTGAAAACATGCCAAAAACAAGGCTTTGTGAACATATTTACAGGGAAAAGAGTATATTAGGAAGTGTAACTTGTTTAAAATAAAACATGTGCTTTCTTAGTAGTAGTGGTGCTGTTAAGACCATACCGATTAGGGGAACAGTGCACACTAAAAATATATAGATTTAAATCTTACGATGCAACTTTAAATCAACAAATAAATCCACGGACTTAACACATTACAGCCTTATGGTGTAAACTAATGCATGTTAAGGTGACCCCCTGATTCTCTTTTTTTCCTGTGTATATTTGGAACTCAGGCCTGAATCCTTTTGGGTTGAGCAAGCCAACCCTCCACTCTAGGTGCCCCTTAAAGGTAGCCACAGGAAAGCATACAATAAAGTAGTTTAAGTAGTAAATAGTGTAGTAAGCATGTTAAATTAGTGTAGGACCCACAGGTATTGTACTTTCATAAAGTGGTAAGCGTAACACATTATGGCCATAAGTTATAACCAAATCCTAATATTTGTTGCTCGTATAGGTGGTTTTAAAGAGAAACTATAGTGCCAGGAAAACAAATAGCTTCTTGCTCACAATAGCTTCTTGCTCCCTCAGGACCCCCTCCTCGTCCACCTCAGTCCAGCACCGATGTCCCTCGTTGCTGGCTCAGGTCCGCCTTTGCTCCTCTGATGTTGGCGGGTAGACCTAAAGTGCATGTGCTGCAATGTCCAAGCTCCCATTAAGATTTCCCCATAGGAAAGCATTAGACAATGCTTTCCTATGGAATTTTGGGTGACACTGGACGTCCCCATGCGTAGCATGAGGATGTTCAGCATCAGTTAGTTGACCAAAAGTCATCTAATAGCTCAGAAGTCCCTCTAGTGGCAATCTGATAAACAGCCATTAGAGGTGAAGTTAACCCACAAACTAATTATTCCAGTTTCTTAAAAACTGAAATAATTAGCTTTGCAGGGTTAAGGGACCTGGGACAGCTTTAACGCTCTTAGGATGGCATGGAATGTCCTTGCATTTTGGAGCTCAATTCATACCTTGAGCTCCCCTTTGTCAGTAGGGGCCATATTTTGTGGCCCCAGACTGACAGTTGAGCTGCAGTCCATGCTCAAAATGCATCCAGCACCTTAAATCCATTTAAAATACCGCACAGCATTTGCGTTTTCCCCATCGATCGGTCTGAAAAGACTTTGATAGGATCTCTCTGCATGTCTGCATGTGAGTGGTGCTGGGCTGTTCCAGCTGCTTAGCACTTATAACATAGTGATTGGCAGGGACAGCATGCAGGAGCTGCAGCATGAGAGGGAGGTCTCCCAAAGCTCCCTGTACTGTGTAAGCTGTGACACATATATGCTGATGTCGGTACTGACGTCAGCTAAGAATATCCGTCTCAGTTCGCGTTAGGGTCGGTGGTAGGGTTGGCATTGGATTAGTGTTAACTATCAAAAATTTATTTAGATCCTAAACATATGAGGCATTTAACAATCAGTACTGATATGCATTTGATGTGTAAAAATGATTTTAAGCAAAACTATAATAGAACGTATTTTTTACATTTTTAACGTACATAATGATGCATTGGGTATCTTCAATATATATATATGTATGGGTTAAGTGAATAAAGATAAACCCTTAAAGTACAGTGGAACCCTTATTCTACTAAGATTATCTAGCCCTGTAGGTATACCCTTATGGTCCAATACACACTCTAACTACTATACACTCTATTTAGCATGGTCACAATCTAACATTGTTGTTACAGAGAAAAGTGTCTTTGAATGCTGTCTTCCCGGTTTTGCTAATTAATTTCAGGTAGGTTTGATAAAAACTGGTGCTCTCCCAACACTTAGAGTCTTACCTTGCTCTTAATGTTCCTTTAAAAGGAAATGCATCACTTTGAGACAACGGTCTCATCCAAAAGCTTTAGTTTTGAATGAAACAGTTGCCTTACTCTGCTAACTGAAGTTTTTATTCATATTTATCTACGTCTTTGATCTTATGCTTTCCACACCCACTCCAGGGAGGACATTGATCTAACCAATCAGTGTCTCATCCCTAGGAATGCTGGAAAAGTGCATTGGGCATGCCTGACAGATTTACACATGTGCAGTTGGAAGATCTCTTTGCCTTCTAACATCCTGACAGGGGGAGAAGGGAGAGAGTCTGATTAGTGTAAATCAGAACAGGCTCTGGTGTCTGTTTTTTTCTGTTCTGCTCCTGCACAAGAATGCCCTATTTTTGACATTAGTGGATCGATCTGAAACTGAGATGGGTAGGTAAGAGGAAGGATGGGAGGCTGAAGGTGGGAGGAGTGCTCAGCAATGCAATTTGACCAAGTTTATAGTAAGTTTATAGATGTTTATTTTATCATTTTCAAAGTTTTTCGTCCCTTATTCTGCTTTGCATATTTGTTTTAAAGTGTTTGCTTGTTGGTTTTAAAAGATAATTGTCAAGTGTTGTATGTCCCTTTAAATCAGAAGTCAACAATGAGTTGCAGTGATTATGTTGCTTAGTTTCTTATTAAATGTTGGAACCTGCTTTCTTCAGTGTATTGGAATCCAAGAATTAACTGCAAAATTCAAATGCTTGCTAATTTATCAGCTATATGTTGTAATATTT